CTTCTCTGTGTCGCTCAATGCTGAGCTCCGTCCCGGACGGTGCTGTGTGTGGCTTCTCCCAGCAGCACTCTGAGGCGGCCATCACTGTCCCGGTGTCCCAACACACTGGTTTCAGAGAGGTGAAGAGACTTGCTCAGAGTCACAGGTCCAGGGGGTCAGGAAGCTGGTGATTTTACTTGTGTTTCCTTCAGAACCTCTAATAGACCAGGTTGGCCTGGAAGTCTCCGATTAGTTAATTATTAGGGGTGTGTGTGTGTGTGTGTGTGTGTGTGTGTGTGTGTGCGTGCGCGCGCTCGCGCACAGGCGTCTGCACGTGGAGAGGGCACAGGGACATGTCACATGTCATCCGGACCGGGCTCGGTGGCCCACACATTTAATCCCAGCACTGGGGAGGCAGAGACAGGGGCATCTCTGTGAGCTCGAGGCCAGCCTTGGCTACAGAGTGAGTCCAGGACAGCCAGGGCTACACAGAGAAAGCCTGTCTGAAAAATGAAACAGAAAATTCAAAGCGCCCAGCACAATGCTTGACAACGCGGTGCGGAGAGGCGGCTTTCCAGCGTCGCCAGCACAGCGGGCGCTCTCCGTCCCCGGAAGGAGCCTGTGCTCTCCGCACGGAGGCTCCTGATGTGCCGGCGGCCACACAGCGAAGCCAGAGCGGGCGAGCGAGCCCAGCACGGAGAGGCAGGAGGGTGAGGGCTCCGCAGTGTGGGCCAGCCTGGTTTACGTGAGACCCTGTCTCAAAACAAAACGAAAGAAAGCGGGGTCTGTGAACCGCTTGCCTGACGCGGCCTAACACGAGAGGAGCCCCGGACGGCACCCGGAAACCACCCACACCCGACGTGGGGCCGCACACCTGGAATCACGGCGCTGAGGTCGGAAGCCAGGTCCTCGGATCAAACCCAGCCGCCACGCGCCTCCCTGGCACGCTCAGGGTCCTGGGTTCGATCCCTCACACCCCATCAAACCAGCACCCTGGCACACACTTGTACTACCAGTAGACGAGAGGTACAGGCAGGAGGGTCAGGCACTCCAGGTCAATCCTGGCTACCTAGAGAGCCCGGGGCAAGCCTGGGCTACATGAGACCGCACGTCAAAACAAAGCTGCTCTGAGTCTCCCGCAGAGAGCAGACAGCCCGCAGCAGACGTACCGTCAGGGCAGCCATAGGCGTGGTCGCCCCTTCTTGACAGGACAGGTGAGGCTCGCCTCGCCGGCTGCCTGCTGCGTGTGCTATTCGGGGTGCTGGGGTGTGGCCTCGGAGGAGATCAGGCCCCATCCTCTGCTTGTCTCTCGGAAGGAGACACAGAAAGAAAACACAGGAGGAAGAAGGGAACGAGGCAGGTGGGCATGGACCGAGCCACATTTCACACTGAAGCGTCAGTGGCCGAGTCATGTCAACAGCTGCCCAAGGAGCCGAGGCGGGAGCCGGGAGGGAGGCCGGGTCACAAGTGCAGAGGGCCTGAGGCCGGAGCTGGGCTAAAGGGGCAAGAACGCTGCCTCTGGGGGCCGGGAAAGGAGCGACGTCAAGCAGGCAGGGCCCACTCACAAGCCTCCCTCCGTGGGCCCTCCGAGGGCCCAGGCCTGCCTCGAACCCTGATCCTCCGGTCTCCGCCTTTGTGTTGAGATTCCCGTCGTGCCCGGCTCTCCTCCCCCTTCCTTGTTTGTTGCCGTCGTGTGTACACACGTGGCGAGTGTGAGTCCCCGTGCTCGCACACCTGCACGCTGCTGCGTGTAGGGGGGCTGCGCGCTGCTGTCTTCCTCAGGCTCTCTCCGCCTTATCATTGTTTTACTTATGATCGTCTTGGGTGGGAGTGTGACGTGTGTGAGTGTGGGCACGTGCGTGCACGTGGGCGTCAGAGGGCACCTTCCTCAAGCTGAGCTCTCCGTGGGTCCAGGACGCGAACCCAGGCCCTCAGGCTCGCTCGGCACCTTTCCTGGCTGAGCCGCCCTGTCGCCCCTCAGCTCACGTTTTGAGGCAGGTCCTCGTGAACACGGAGCTCGGCAGCTGAGCTGGCTGAGATCTCGGGCGCACACCCCAGCTCCTCACTCGGGGTCTAAGCTCAGGCCTGCACGCTCACACAGCCAGTGTGTCACCCACTGAGCTATCTCCCGGCCTGGAGGCCGCCTGTCCCGACCGTGGGCTCCTTCGTTCTCCAGAGGGCCTTTCCCTCTTTCCCACACACACTGTGGGGTGCCTGATCACGTAGCTCCAAGAACCAGGCCCCCCACTTCTGGTTAACCACTGAGGTTCCCAGCAGGGCTTTGCCAAGGCCACATGCCCGTGCCAGGGACCCCTCTGAATCAGGATGGGGGCTGGCGCGTGCCAGGCCAGACCAGGCCTTGGGGAAGTATGACGTGACCGTAGCTGCTAATGGGCATCCAAAGTCCATGCCCATCCCCTGGCAAGCCTCACTTCAGGGCGGCCGTCCCTGGTTCCCGCTCAAAGGTGAGGCCAGGAGCTAGGAAAGAAAGGGTACCGCGCCTGACAGGCCTCACCCAGGCCTGCTCGGCGATTGCAGGACAGCTTGGGGCCGGGAGAACACTGTCAGACCTTCGGGGCCTGTCCCATCCCCCCGCCTCCTCCTCCTCCTTCTCCTCCTCTTCCTCCACAGGCTCTGAGCCAGCCCTGCTGGGCTCGGCCCTGGACCACACAGCCCAGTCCCTCCTCCAAACCCTCCCATCACGCCAGCATGGCTGAGCCCCCCTCTGGCCTCCTCCATCCTTGTGTCCCGTGGCCTTGACCTTCCTGCCCCGGTAGGACATTCCGTAGTTGTTCGGGTGCCACCCTGCCCCTGGGCCCACAGCGCCTCCCACATAAGGCCGTCTCCTTCCACGGTGGCTGGCGTGTTTCCTGTATCTGGCCACAGCCCCCAGACCTGGACCACAGCTGAGGGAGCCCATGACTGACCTAAGGACATACCCAGCGGGGCTCCTAGGGACAGGTGCCTGTGTGGCTTTGAGGGCTTTACAGAGAGAGAGAGAGAGGGAGAGAGACACCCAACGCTGGGCATGAACAGCCTCCTCCAAGGCAGTGGTTTCAACCTGTGGGTCGTGACCCCTTTGGGGTCAACTGCCGGTTGCACAGGGGTCACCAGGACCATCCGGAAACACAGATCTTTACATCACGACGCCTTACAGCAACAGATTCCAGCAGCAAAATGATTTTATGTTGGGGTCAACACACACAAGGAAGCGTGTGACAGGGCCGAGGTGTGAGGACGCCTGAGACCCGCCTGTCTAAGGGGTCACACAAGGCCTGCTCCAGGGCCCCGCCCCAACCCCACGGCTCCCGTCCTCCTCCCCCATGCCAGCTAGCTCTCCGCTGCAGTGTGTCAGGGCTGGTCCGTGGGCACGCTGTGCGCTGTGAACCGCCCTGCTGTTCTCCAGGATCTAGCTGAGGCCCTGCTCGCGCACGCACGCAGACTGATCCAGAAATGTGGTCAGGCTTCAGCACGGACCCAGCTTCACTTCACAGTAGTGGAATGAGGTGGCGGTGAGGCCGGGCCGTGTCTGCGCCGTGTGACACAGTGTGTCCCGTCTGTCACCGCAGCGGCCTTCCCCGTGGCCTCGGGACAAGCCAGCGTGCCCTCGCAGGCATGTGGGCTGGATTCCTCCATGTCTCAGGATTTGTCTTTGCACTGCCTCTGTGGGAAAAGCCACACGAGGATCCTGGGCCTTCGCCGTTTGTCCTGTCTTATTTGCCTGCCTGCACAGACATGGGGGTCACCCTGTGCTCCATTTCAGCATCTCCATAGGCACAGATGTCCGTGTGGACCGCCCCCTCGGGCCTCTCTTCCTTTGCTTTCTTTCCCTTCCTTCCTTCCTTCCCTCCCTCCTTCCTTCCTTCCCTCCCTCCTTCCCTCCCTCCTTCTTTCCCTCCTTCCTTCCTTCCTTCC